CGCACTAATAACCAAAATGGAGGGCACCAGTGGGAGCACCAAAACTAAACAGCCCCCTTCTATAGTTATGTGCAGCTCGTCTGACCCTTATGGCACCAAATTGACCATTCATGCTAATACTAAAGGAATCACGGTAGCACAACTTGACTTATGTAACATTATTAATTGTGGAACCAACCAGGTGGGTTGGCGTGGTTATGACATCTATATGTGTGTGTTGAGAGGCCACCCCAGTTAATTGTCTCGGAATGGTGTGGAGGATGGGACCAGGTATTGTGGAACACTGGACCAGGCAGCTACACTCATCATTATGACCGCAGGTACAACTTAGGACAGCTGCAAAAGAATATATCCTTGATTAGAGCCACACCAACACCTGGTGGACCTGTGAACCCCTCATATTCACCACTCGATATCTGACATATGTCCAACTCACCCAACGATCTCTTAAGACAAGTAATGGGTATTATTTTGTCATAGGTGTCGACAAATCAGGAAAAGACCCTAAAGGCATTATTAAGGTACAACTAGTAAAACTTTCTGCCTCCCCTCAGCAAACAGTATTTAAGGACACGGCATCACCTACTCCCGGTCCTGGGCCGTCTCTTGTCCATTATGTAGATGTTCATACTGTGAAGGACCTTATAACATTGGAAACAGGATTTACTGAAGCTAACCTATGGCTAGAATGGATGGCTGAGACTGCGCAAGAAAGTCATATGTCTAACCTGTGCAGCTGCGAGACCCTCCCTTTACACTGAACCTGCTCCTCTGTATACCTCTGATACTTGGGGCTATAACTGTATGCTAAATCTAACCAAGGCAGCTACACCCACTAACTGTACCACACTGGCTACTATTTTTCCGCCCATTAACAATAAAACTCTCGCTGGACCATTTATCCCTTATAAAGGCAATGGAAGCTATACATGTTTCAATTTTACCTCTCCAAATGCTATAGTGCTCCTGGGTGAAATCCCACAGGATTGGTGTAACAGAACTGAACCTGGTTCAAACATTGGAAGGTGGGCTAGAGCTGATTTGTAGTATTATTGTGGTGACAGGAGACTTTTGATTGGGATCCCTCAGGAAGCCTGGGGAGTGTGTGCCATGGTCAGATTACAGGCACCACTGATGTTAATTGGTGAAGTCATAAAAAGAACTAATAATACTCATCTACCCTCTATCCCAACAGCTCGGAGGCACTGACATGTGTTAAGGAAGCGCGCAACTAACTCCTTCGACCTCACGCAGAACTCTCCCACCTATATTGATGCAATTGGAGTGCTTAGAGGAGTGGCAGATGAGTATAAATTAGCGAACCAAGTAGCAGCCGGCTTTGAAAATATCCCCATAATCTCAGTGTTTATTCCAATAACTCCTAACAAGAATGTAGACCGCATTAATTATATTCATTACAATGTACTACGACCGGCCAACTTAACCCGGGATGCTGTTGAAGGTCTCTCAGAACAACTAGCCCCCACCTCTCTCATGGCCATACAAAACAGAATGACATTGGATATGTTGCTAGCTGAAAAAGGGGGTGTCTGTGCCATGTTTGGAGATATGTGTTGTACTTTTATCCCTAATAACACCGCTCCTGACGGATCTGTCACCCGAGCCTTAGAAGGATTGAGAACTCTGAGTAAAACTATGCACGAGCATTCAGGGATTGACAATGCATTGGAGCAATGGTTTACTGATATGTTTGGAAAATGGAAAGGTTTAGTCATGTCATTAATGATTTCTATTGCTATTTTTGTTGCCATAAAGGTTACCTTTGGTTGTTGCTGTGTACCATGCATCAGGGCTCTGATGGTTCGCTTCATCACTGCCACAATTGGGAAAAGGGGGGTTTTGCTGAATCTAAACCCCTCCTTATCAGATGTGGTGCTTTGACGGACGGACTTCCCCAGGGGCTGGAGCTGGCTTAAACCCTATGTGGAGTGATCTCCTAGGGGAGAAAAAAGGGGGAATTGTGGAAATAAAATGCATTATTATTAGCAGCTAAAAAAAAGATATATTGGGACTTTGCTGTTTATTTTTGATTTTTTTTTAAAGGGGTTTTAGTTATGCTTTTGTATAGTTAGAAAAAAACTTAAACAGTAGCCTCTAGTATTAAAACCCAAAATGAGTGTTTTTTATTCAAGGTTTAAAAGCTTGCAGGGGGGTTTTTCTGTCTGTATCGTGAGAAGCCAGCAGTGTTTTGGGGAGGCATGGTACCCCCTCTCTGTGCTGACCGAAACTTCTGATAATTATTCCCCCCCAAAAACTTCCTGAAGACGTGTAGGAAACAATTCTTAAATTTAAATGATGAAATGTATTTTCTTTTTATGCTGTTGCGGGGGAAATAACCCACAGATAAAAATGATTTGTTTTTAAAACTAAAAAAAGGTGCTGCACAACAACGGGGGTATATGACGGAGTGAAGTGCGCCCCAGTCAGGCAACAAAACAAAAAACCGTTTTCCAGGTACCCTTGTAAGTGTGATGTCCCCCCCTTCTGAATTCAGATTGGTTTTTAAAAAAACTTGTGGAAACGTAAAAACTGATCTCTGACTGAGGTTTTCCTTTTGGGGGTGCCAAAATAAAAAGAGTCGATGAGAGGGGGGAGTAATGTAAAGTTAACGGACGGCCAAAAAAGTTTTTCTACCTCGAAAAACCACCCCCCCCCCCAAAATATAAACACAGGAGAACAGGCTGAGTAGGTGTCCGGTATGTTAACATCAAACATTAACAGTTATTCAGCTAAAATACATAAAGAAAATACCTGAGAGGTTTAAGAGCGGGCGGTCTGATCACTGAGCTAAAACAATCAAAACAGAACTCAGAAAAATTCTCTCTCTCAAAACAGCCCTCACGGGGGGAACTTTTATTCTTAAAAAGCGCACAAAAGAATCATCTTCATCAAAAATTCCAGAAGTCCCCCCCCACCTCTTCTGTCTTCACTGGGCGGTTTTTATACAGATAAAAAAAAAAGCATTGGTGTGTATATTGGGGGTTCATTTACATAATACATTTTTGGGCATCCACAACATTGTTTTTTCTATTTTTTCCCAAAAAATTACACTTTAGCAAAACATTTGGAAAAAAAACATCAAATTGGCGTACGTGACAGTTTTACAATAAAAAATTTCATCACTTATCTGGATGCAAACCTCTCAGGTCAATTTTAGACCTGGCCGAGGACTTTAGGGATATCAAAACTTTCCCAGCTGAAAAACCACAATGCAAGCTCTTATCATTCCCCTTATTCCTGTGGTCAAAATGAATAAATGATTTGATGTCACACTGACCTGGCAAGGGTCAGTGTATCACAAGATTTCCTGCAATAACAAGCCCTTTTTAAAATTTTTTCCTCTCGCCAAAAAATTTTTCCCTAATGTAATCTATTAAAAAAAAGGCATGCATGTCTTACTCAGAGTGAACAATTATTCACAAAAATTCATCTTATAATGGAAACCCCAAAAAATTAACACTTTTGATCTAATCAAACACAGCTTTATGCCTCCACAGAGGCTAAGTAGGCTAAATTTACCCGGGAAAGCCAGGGAGTCCAACGAGCAAGCTGCTGGAAAAAACAAGTTTACACCAAGCTCCTGACCTGATCTCATTCCACATTAGTGAATCCTTTGATTTTTCATCCTTGGTGTCGCTTCTGAACAACCTCTGTAGGAAGCGCAGATTCTTTCCAAAAATCCCGACAAAAAGGGTTTTGTTGTCCCAAAGCCCATGCTTTGTCTATCTATCCAAGGACTTGCTGAAAAAGTTACATGGCGCATCCTTCGGTTTCCCTATGAAGCTGTGCTTTTCCATCCCCACCCCCTCCCCCATAGGCTCCCCAAAGCTGCCTTAAAGCTCCCCGTTCCCCCACTTAGATGTCGAGGGGCTGGAGTACTGGCATTTTCTGACACGGGTTGTCCGTGCTCTGATAGAGAGGGGGGTTTTTCCCCCTTTTTGGGGGCTTTTGGGGTTTTTTTTTTGGTCTGTTTCAGCCCCTCTCTTTGTCCTTTAGGTTTGGGGTTCCAGTTACTTTTTAGAGCTACAGGAGCAGCATGTCCCCCATCCCACAAAGAGCGCCCCCTTGGCGGCTGTAGACGGTAATGTTTTTTTTACCTCCTTTTCCCTATTTGAAAAATTTTAAGTCGCATCTGCATATAAACCAAAAAAAACCATGACCACAAAAAGTGGCCGACTCATAGTCTGGAAAACCACGGTGCTTCTTTTTTTCTTGAGGAAGTCAAAGTGAGGCATGCTTGGATTCTTAAATCATTGTGTAAAATGAACATCTACCTAAATTTTAATCAGCTGTTTATATTATAAGGGTTTATTTTCAGAAAACTTTTTCCTTAAAAAAAAAGGTTAGAAAACCCCCCAAAACCAAAAAGCCCAATTTGGGGAAAAAATTCAGGATTAATTTTGAACTGTATGTTTTTGACAGGTAAAATCTATGGTCTCCTCTTTGGTTTAAATTGGCTTTTCTCATTTGACATAAACAGCCTCCTTTTTTTCCCTCTCTCAAACCCCACTATCTTCTCTGTCCCAAAATATGAAAATTTTTTATGTCCTCAAAGGAGTGTGTCTTGTAGGTGCATAGCTGAGTCCTTGTCCTGAGGAGCTGGCTGTCCTGTGTTGAGCCAAGCATTTGTGGAGAGGCTGTTTAGTTTTTCTCCATTATACAGGTCTAGGCCTTCCTCACTGCACTGAACTGAAAAACACAAACTTCTGTCCTGTAACAGTATTTTTTCCTGACTTCTGCATTTAACCCATCCCTTAGGAAGCAGTGAGCTCCCACTGTGCAGCGCTCCCGGGGCATTCCCGGGCTAAAGGTCATGGCTCAGGGACCAGATGGGCCTGCATGTGGGATTAAAAAACCGGGGCGTTTCTTGTGGCCTCTCAGGAAACCCCCAAAACCCCCCCCCACAGCCAAAAACCCCCTCTAACCCTCCCCCCCAAAACTGTACTTCACATAGATTGACCAAGTAGTGTATAGAAAAAAGGCACTGCTGGGATTTTAAAACCCAGGATTTCCTGCTTACGAGACAGACACCTCAACCAACTAAGACACAGCGCCTTTTAAAAAATCAGCCAACAAGAATCTAAATGTTTTTTCCCCCCCACCCCCAAACACACATGAAATTCACAGGTTTCATTGATAAAACCAAAAATTAAGGCACATTTCCAAATTCATAACCCCGGTTCACCAATCTTGTCGGAAACTCTGATGCTGACAAAATTTTAATCCTCTGCAAATTTAACATTTGGACAATTTAAAACAAAAATGTTAAACTCCCCAAGGGGAAAGATTAAAAACCCCCCAATTCAAAAAAAACACTTTTTCAAACCCAACTGCGTATTTTAAAGCTTGAAAAAATTTTAAAAAACCCCCCTTGCAGAGTTTAAAAAACCAGAAAAGGAACATACGTTTTTTTCCATGGAATGTGGCGTTTTAAATTTTTGATATTTACATAAAGTGTAGCTGGTGCTAAAAAAAACCTTGAAAAAGGGGCTGGTGGTATGTGGGTTTTGGAAATTAAATGAAATTAAAAAATGAAATAGACTCAGAAAAAAGTTTTTATCAGGGATGTTTAGTGTCTGCCTGCAGGGGGACAATTGTCCTTTCACTGCTTCTGGGAAAGAAAGTTTCTGAGCCTACTTGTTCTTGCTATGATTTTTCCTGAATGGTTTTTTTCTGACGGGAAGTGGGACAATCAGTGCATTGCCCGGGTGGTCGTGGTCTCTAGCAATGTGTCTGGCTCTTTTCTGGACTCGTGCAGCATAAATCGAGTTCAGATCCGGTAGACGACATCCCACAATCGCCTGTGCTGTCCTCACCACCCCTGCTAAGTCCTTTTTCTCTTGTGCTGTGCAGCTCCCGTACCACACTGTTACACTGCGCAGCATATACCGGAAATGCTGGAGAACGGTCAAAAACTGCCTGCCTCTTCTGTTTCATTATTATATGTTGTTGTTCAGTGGTGGGCATAACATTTTTTAGAAGAAATACATTTTATATTTGACTTTGTTATTTGACTTATATTGGTAACTATAAAGGAGAGGTAAATATGTAAAAAATAAATGAGAGCAGCAGCAGTTTAAAAAAGTGGCAGTTGAACGCAGAAGCAGCGGCTGTTTAATTCCCTTTTTTTTGTAATATGAGTTAAATAATACAATAAAAATAGAATAATCTTTATTTGTCATTGCAATTAAATATTCCAACCAAATGTGTCCTCTGCATTTAACCCATCCTCACAGGGAGCATTCTGGGGCTAAGGGTCTTGCTCAGGGACCCAGAGTGACAGTCGCAGGATACGAACCCTTGTGTCCTCTACAGAACACAAAGCCCCTGCTCTGACCACTAGGACACCACACCCCACAAGACTCCTGCAGTGATATTTTTGTTTTTTCATCTTATTGATTTTTGTATTTCATTAGCAAATGTATTGTCTTTCTGTTAACACAAATGTGTACATTTATAGAAATAAGTTGAGGTGACTTAGATGAATGGTGTGTGTGTTAGAGTACTGAAGAGCATACTGAATTCAACTGACTGGATGAGATGATGTACCTGTGTAAGAATACAGTAATTAAACTAAATGTTTTAGAAAAAAGGAAAAAATATTAACTTGATCAGAAAGATGACATATAGAGCATTTGGACAATTTGACTGGAAAATAAAAAAAAAAAACCCGGGAATGCTGGAGAACGATCAGGAACTATCTGCCTCATCTGTTTTTCTTGTGTTTCATTATTAATTTTGTCAGCATGTTACTGGGCACCAGACGCAGGACCAGTAACAGATTAGGTTTTTTTTAGTTGTTTTCAAGATCTAAGGTTAATTTTTTGGCATTTTTTTTTAACTTCTAGAGTATCTAAAGACCCCAAAAACCAATAAAAATATTTTGGGTTAAAAAACCCAAAGGAACCTTTCAGGGGAATTCTTTTTAAAGGTTTGGGGCCGCGGGGCTTTCTCCCCAGGGACCCCCATATTTACCCCCTAATTTTGGTGACCATTTCCCCCCAAATTTAAACCATGGGGGATGTCATTGGTCAGATTTTATTTTTAAGGACTTCAGAGTCAGTAAAGAGTCCCCCCCAGAAACAGTTTTGGTTCAAGTATTTAGTCTTTCCCCACTACAGGTTAGAAAAAGATACGGTCACAATAACTGATAAAACAGCCGTCGTATTCTGTGAACGCATTTATTTTAAAATGACCTAAATTTTATGTCAGTGTAAAAAAGCAAAAAAAAAACCCTATGTTAAAAATATTTTTTAATAATAATGATGTGCATGGGCACTGTTACTGTTGTTTTTCCATCAGGTTTTAGAGTTGATTTTAGGTAGAATCATTTTTTATTTAAGTGAAAATTTTTAACAGACGATCCATTTTTTTCCTTTTGTTTCTTTTTTGGGGGCCCTGTTAATCACAGAATATTTAGGTTATGGTCCTCTGTTCCTCTGAACAAGCAGGAACTATTTAAACAGCTTAATACTTCTCCATTCATCTGCGATTTATGGGCAAAATAAAAAACCCCTCGTATTTTTCATTTTCCCCCAATTTTTAAATGAACTGAGTTTTTAAAGAAGATTGCAGCTGTTTAATCTCTTTTTCCCCGGGTTTTAAACATGAGAAAAACCATAGAGGCCACTGAGTGATTGAAGGGGGTCCTTCTCACTCTCAACAGTCACATCTGCCACTAAAACATGGGCCCTTTTTCTTTTTTCCCTTCCTTTTAAATTAGCAAATAATTTTCTCTGAGCTGGCACCCCCCACATTTTCTCCTGACTGCAGAGGATCCAGTGAAACTCTTGTGACCAAAATTAAAAAAAATCTTAGTCCTTTTCCTTTTTCACTGTAAAACCCAAGATAAGTTGGGTTTAATCAAACGACTGCCTTAAAAACCCTTTAAGTCTAGTAACTTTAAAAAAGTCAGTTTAAAAAAATGCTCCACCCACGCACATTTCCGGGGGGGAGAGGAATTTATGACATCACAGTGGTTCTTTTGGCCTTTATGACCCTGTAACGGAATAATTCTTTCTTCTGGCACTTTTTTCCTCGTGAGAGACAGACGTACTTTGGTGAGAGAAAAACAAGGGTGTTTGTGAGAAAAAAACGATATAGTTTGCCGGGAAAAAATCGATATAGTTTGCGATTAGTTTGTAATCCTAGAGTTTGCTTACCCACCAGTGCAAACTAAAAAAAGCTAGAAACGCCTCCATCAGTTCCCCAAAAGCTCGAGCAGTCCCCAGTTTTTCTGTGGACAAGATCATACCGATGATCGCAAAATTTTTTTGCTCCATCTCATTGGATCAGAGCTTGGATTTTGGGCCCTTTGGGAAAACCCCCTGATGGAACCCAAACCCGTTAAAGGAGCTGCTATTGAACCCCCGGGAAATTATAGCACCTCTGTTTTAACAAAATCCGCAAGAGACGCATGAGGTTTTGGAGATGTGGCGGCCGTTGTGGGCGATTCGCTGCTAAAAGCATTTTGAAGACGTCCTTAAGTTCAAAGGGAAAGACCCCCCCAAGAGCTTTGACGTTTTCAACGACTTATTCGTAAAACAGGTTAAAGAAAAAGTGAGATCTTCCATCTGCTGCATGCATGATCAAGCAGCTTTTTTTGCTTCAATGGGTTGAGGGCGGAAACAAGTGGATTCAATGCTTCCCTACTTGCAACCACAATGATAAAGGACTTGTTAGTCTGGGAAGTTAAAAAGAAGATCGCCAGAATGTGGCGGCCCCAAAAACCATCAAAAATCCACAGGAGGAAGGAAGGGAAAAGGATTTTTTAGGAATCCTATCATAACTTTCCCCACGGACGATACAGGCTGTTACCCGGTCATCCCAGAGGAACCAGAACTTGAGGAGGCCCCCCAGAAGGGCCCCCAAAGATGGGGACAAATTTTTTCCTCTCAGGAGCTTTCAAGAAAATCAAGGTAAAAAAAAATTTTTTTAATCTAAAGACAAAGGATTAGATCTTAAGATTGGATGAATTAATTTATCTCTGATAAGATTTCAGAAATGACAGAGTAAAATATTTTTATCTCTAAGGAAAAGGAGTCAGAGCTGAAAATGGTTGATGAATTCATCTCTGAAGAACTGTCAGAGGTCACAGAAGTGAAAGAGATCTCAGGGATTTCAGTGGATTCAATTCAACCCATTGAAAATCACGGGCTGGGGGAGAGAGCTGCTCCACTATCTTTTGCAAAAAAGAAGAATAAAGGAGTTGGAGTCAGGATTAAGAAGTTCCTTCAAAAATACAGTGAGGGACGACACAACAGAGTTGCACCAGAATTTGTCTTTCAAGAGGAACTGGGAGATAAGGAGACAAAGGTTACAGCGCTGCAAAACTTTCCAGAGGAATCAAACCTCTCAACAGGGGTAAAAGTCATTGACGAGGAGCAAGAATCAGAGGTTACAGTAATTTCTGTTTGCAAGGAGGAAATATTGAAGCCAGCCAAGGAACCCAACATCATCAAAAGTTTCTTCTCTTCTGTTGGCAAAGCCCTCCTCAGGCCCTTTAAAAGGTTTTGAGGGGCAACTGAGTCGATCCGGCTAAAACATGGGACACTCTGCACTACCGGAAAAATTTAAACCCTGCCGGCTACCAGCAGGAAGCCGGAAAATTAATCAACACACAACTACACTCACTGACAAAAAAGTTCATCACCAAGTCAGCCCCCAATAGTAATGGTCTGAATTGGACAAAACTTTATCCGCAGGCAGATACATGTGATGGGTGTCAAAAATGTTGACTTGCAGGAGGCCGCTACGTCAGAAACAGGCACCAGAGGCATGATTTGGGCATCACGAGTGAAGCAGTGGTTTTCCACAGGCTGCTACCGGAGCGTCCGTCAGTCAATCGGAGCAGCAGGTGAAGGTCAGTAAACACAGAGTCTGACTCGCAGGCCTCATTGGACAGCATCCCCAGCACTTGATGGGGGTTGGGTAGGTTTGTTTGTTGGGTTGGTTGGGTTTGGGGGGGTTGGTGTTTTGTTTTACAGATCCATTAACCCTGACTTGTGGGGTACACAGATGTAATACTGGCTGATGCTGGAAACCAGACATCTGTA